GGTCCTCTCAAGGTTACACCAGCACAATCAAACAGGAACCAAACAATACTGAGATATTATAAAGTATGTGAGTTGTGATTAATTGATTCTCCTAAAGTTGAGATAACGGAATGTTTATGTTTGAGAAAAACGGAACAGTTTTAAGACTTTGAAACATCTGCGAGCTATAAAGCAACCCAAAGCATTTGAAATATGAGGGAAATTATATAAATTACCATTTGATTATTTACCCGTACTGCACTTGGGGAGAATAGAAACATTTTACTGTCCCTTGGGAGCTGCTAATAAACAAATCTCCGCACTGAGAAGCCTTGAGTTCACATAGACTTCAGGGCGACTAAAGCAGTTAGTGGATTGATAAACATAGACTCTATTTTGCGCTTCGGAATAACAGGTTTCGCCTGTCAGCCAATAGCAGCGGATTCTGGTCTATGTGAGGGTGGTTGTGTCAATTTCTCAGCATGCCGGACAGCTGTGTATAATTTCAATATAAGTGATGCCTTCTAAACAAGCGTCTCAGAGAAATGACACTGGAAATTGTGCATTCACACAGCACTTTCCAAATGATGATCCAAAAGGCAAATAGCTCGCCGTGGTTCCCGTCAGAAATGAGTAAACTTGAATGGAGGGTCTCCAAAACATCATAAAGAGAGCAGTGAATATATATATAAAAAACACAACATTATAATGTACTATATGGAAAATGGAAATTCATCTTCATATTAGTAATTAGTGTTTTAGATGACGAACATTAGATGACAGCCAAGGTAATCTGAAAGTAAAAAATTTAAATACATACTTCAGTACTGACCTCTGAGTTCAGAGCCCAAACTGCCAGTTATGTCCCAGGCCAGCGCAGACCCCAAAATAATCCAATCCAATTACCAACATGTCCATCATGTGCGGCCCCCGGGCAAGTTCACGACCTTTTGAGCAGTGAACCTTACACACTTTATTTCCCTCAGTGAATAGGGCCAGTATTCATTACAGGCCATCTTGTTTTTCATTTCCAAAATAGCTGACACATGCCAACCATCCTGCTGCTTGAATAAGTCACCCATGGGACAAACGCAACACCTGACCAGCTCAGCAAATCAAAGACACGGGTCTCAAAATGTAAGACAAGAGGTCATTGCAACAAAGGATGCTCTGTAAAGGCCATCTGCATGCTTTAATGTGTTATAGTGACTGTTTGTTTTAGACACAAATAATATGTAAAATACCACTGAGCACTATATAAACGTTCCTGAAGTATGCCGGGGTTCATATGCAATGCTATGTAATGATATTTTTAAGGTCTGTATGGTTCATAGGGCTGTGCAAAAAATCGAATGTGATTTTCTTGCGCATCTCGTCAGTAAACCCGCTGATTTTTTTCACAGCCCTAACTTTATGGAAGCTGTCTAGACCTCATAACTGGGAACGATGTGAAAACAAGCCATCAAGATGTTTTTCCTTGATTTAAATCCATAAAAACTATTAAAAGCTAATCATAAAATATAGTGGCCATTCTCTGCCTCTTAGCTGCACTGTCTATGAGAGCTGCTGTTCAATAATTGCCATTTAAGGTGACATGCTTGACTTCAGATAGAAAAAAAAATGAATTCCTACTATAGCAGACCACTACTCCCTAAGGAGGGATCTCAAGGTTCTTGCTATTCTTGCATGGGAAAGTCGACTCATTGCCAGAAGCTGGCAGTTTGCTTGAAGAACAAAGCTAAAGACGAGAGACAAAGGAAATCGCCGTCACATCAGCGCATGCAAAGCAGCAGTTTTGTAATGGGCCGAAATATTGCACTGTAATAAAGCTCTGAAGGCTTTGAAAAACGAGGGGTGTCTTTCTGCAGCCACATACTGCAGAGACAATACAGCTATAAACTGAAAGGAACTAAATCACTTTCAATCACACCAGAGCAACTGATTCCCAAGCTCTTTTATGCTCTGCTTCAGCCCCACCCAGTTCACTACCAACAATTACCACTTTGAAGATGTGCGGTGATGCAAAACACTAATCACCCAGATACCGGCCACATAATAATCATTTCCTATGCACACCATTGTAAACAAGGCTCAAGAGCCAATTGTGAATGGAAACTTGGGGTATTTCTTCATTTAAATGTACATCTGAAGGAAGTGCTTCATGTACAATTTGGGAATAAATCAGTGGCTGTGGAAGAAATATGGTTTGTGAAATATGGTTTGCATTGCTGTTATACATGAAAGTAGAGCTGGGTGATATATTGAATATTTAAAAAAAAAAAAGAATATTTACGATATATTCTAAATTATTTTATTGATGATATAAAATGAACCAACATTATGAATTTTAATGCACATTAAATTTGGCAGTTAAGTTTCCTGAAGGCCGTGTTCGTTTCTTTTTGAATGATTTTATTCTATGAATCTTTTCAAAATACTGATTAAACAGTTTGTTTGTACCATCACTCAGGTAAGCCATCTATGTGACATTAAAATGTATTTATTATTGCTTTAAATATTCATATAAACTTAAATATTAATATATCTATTTGTCAAAAGGCTGACAAAATGTATATATATTTAAATATTAATATCATACATTGTTTCATATT